TGTGTGCGTGTGTGTGTGTGTGTGCGTGTTTGCGCGTGTGTGATGGGGGTGTGTCTGTGTGTACTGTGAGGCATGTGTTTGCGATGTGTGCGTTGCCAGTTACGCGTGATGCGTATGTACGCGTGTGTAGAGAGAGAGAGAGAAGAAAAATGAATCATATAAATAAAGAAATAAAGAAAGGGCGCGCCAGCGGAAAGGGAGTGTGTCGGCGGTGTCTGTGTACGGTTGCGTGTAATGTGTTGTGTGTGTGTTGTGTGCGTGGTTGTTGTGCGTGTCACGTTCGCGTCTGGCCGTGTGTTGCTACAGGTTCGCGGAGGAGGGGGGAAGTGCGTGTGTGCGTGTGTGTGTGTGTGTGCGTGCGTGCGCTTGTGTTTGTGTCGGTGTGTGTGTGTGCGTGCGTGTTGGTGCGCGCGTGCGCGTGCCGTAGCGAGTGTGCTTGTGCTCGTGTTTGTGTTTGTGCTTTTCTGTGTGTGTGTGTGCTTGCGCCCGTGCGTGCGAAGGTGTGGGACTCTCGGGCAGGCCAGCGCAGCTCCCGCGGAACGGAGGCTCCACGACGGGCCTTTGGGGGGGGGGGGGGGGGAACAGTGCAGCAAACGGGACGGGGGGGGGGGGGGAGGGAGGGAGCAGGAGGGGAGGGGGGTGGGGACGAGGGGGACGGGGGAAGGAGGAAGAGGAAGGGGAGGGAGGAGAGGGGAAGGGAGGGAGGGAGGATCGGAGGAGGAGGAAGGAGGAGGGAAGGGAACAGAGGAAGGAAGCAGGAACAGCAGGAGCAGCAGGAGCAGCAGGAGCAGCAGGAGCAGGCCGACTGCGACGGCGGCGGCAGCGGTGAAGGCGACGACCGCCCAGGCTCGGAGAGCTGCTGCGCCCGGAGAGCATGGCCCCGTCGCCGCGGGGCGACGCCCTGTACCTCACCATGGGCGACGGGACGGCCGAGGGGCAGAAGCGCAACACACACACACACACACACACACACATACACACACACACACACACGCACACAAACGCACACACACACACACACACACACACACACACACACACGCACACACACACACACACGCACACACGCACACGCACACGCATATACACACACACACACTTTTTGTCTCTCTCTCTCTCTCTCTCTATCACTCTCTCTGTCTTTTTTTTGTTTCCTCTCTCTCTCTCTCTCCCCCTCTCTCTCTCTCGCCCTCTCTCTCTCTCTCTCACGCTCAGCATCCTCCGTCGTCCTCCTCCTCCTCCTCCTCCTCCTCCTCCTCCTCTCCTCCTCCTCCTCCTCCTCCTCCTCCTCCCCCCACCACTGTTTTTCCCCCTCCTCCCCCCCTTCCTCCCGACATTCCCCCCTCCCATCACCATTCGGCTTCTCATCCACAGCCATCATCTCTCTCCTCCTCATGCTACCACTCCTCCGCCGCCGCCCCCTCACCTCTCCTCGCCCTTCCTCGTCCTCCCTCGTCCCTCCCTCCTCGTCCCTCCTCGTCCCTCCTCCTCCTCCTCCTCCTCTTCCTCCTCCTCCTCCTCCTCCTCCTCCTCCTCCTCCTCCTCCTCCTCCTCCTCCTCCTCCTCCTCCTCCTCCTCCTCCCCTTCCGTCTGGTCATCCCTCCTCCCCCCCTCTCCCTCCCTCCTCCACCTCCTCCCTCCTCATCCACACCATGCGTCTCTTCCCTCTCCCCGCCCCCCCCTCGCGCGCGCAAGAAGCGTGACGTGCCGGATGGGGGAGCCCCTCCCGCGGCTAGAGGCTGGAGCTCGGGACCCCGTCTGTCATGCGGGGCCCCCGTGGGCAGCCGGGTGGAGCCGCGAGGGGGTCGAGCCTCGCCCGTGGTGTCTTCCTGACCTCGCCCCGCGGCCCGGGCGACCGGCAGGAGCATCGTGCGCCTGTGGCACGGGAGGCCGGCGGCACGCAAAACGGGGGGGCGGCGCGCGAGGGCGGGGGGGCGGCCCTCGTGCGGCCAGGTGGCGGCGCGGCGGCCCAGGGCGGCACGCTGCGCCCCGCGAGCGGACGGCGTGTCGCTCCGCGGCGCTCCGCGGGGCGGGAGGCTCGGGAGAGCTCGGGAGGTTGTTGGCGCCCGGGGGCCCAGAGAGCCAGCGTACTGAGAAAATCGAGGAGACGGAGGCGTTTCGCCGTTATCGGCCTCTGGAGGCCCTCGCCAGGCCTCGGGACCGTCAAAAAACGGTTCAGGATGAAAAGTTGGTCCTGGGGAAGGGGTCGAGACCGCTGGGCTCGACGTCATCAAAAAATCATGACGTCGAGGGCCTGGGGGCCCAGAGGTGGAAAGCGTGGCGCGCCAGAGCGTGGTGGGCCAGAATCGGCGGAGCGACACGCTACCTAAGAGCTCCTGACTGGAGAGAGGGCACCCCACCTCTCGCGGCGGCCCCCGCTGCCGCCCAGGAGACCCTCGTCCCTCGGTATGGTGGGGGCGTTGTTTCATTCGCCCGTTATGAAAGTTGCCCATCTCTGCCAACGACGACAACGGCGACATCAAGTGGGCCCCTTTCTCACCGTAGACTCCTAGCAACCCCCTTGGGCCTGGACGAGCGGGAGAGCTTTCGGGAGCTCTCCCTTGCGTAGAGCTAAAAGTGTATAACAAGTTCAGGATAAAATCTCCCCCCCGTCGGTTCATAGGAGAGAACCCACTCTTGGCCGATATTATTTCATTCTGAATTCTTTACTCCAGAGAGCACTCTCTGCCTGGCGACTTCACCGCGGTGGCTCGACATGTCTTGCGCAATCAAGATGCCAATTTTCGGAACGGAGCTGTAGGATTTGCCCAGGAGGTCTCAGACCCTGGAGGAGTCCTTCTCTGATGGGGGCGGCGGCGCTATCCATGGCCAGGCCTCCACTGGAGGCCCACCAGCCTCCAGTCCGAGGGTTCCTTCTCCAACGGTTCCTTGTCCATTGCCCTCACCGTATGTCGGCCTCCGGGGTCCCTCACAGGACCCGGGGGCCATCGAAGACAGATCCGCCAGGAAAAAAGTCACTTCCAAGGGGGGAGGGCCGTGCGTGCGGCGTGCTCTTCCTGCACTGCACGGCCCCAAGTCGGATAATGGAGGATGACGATTAATAAATGACCGGGGGTCGTGTTCACGCGGCGGCGCCCGGGCTGACGATTAGAAAAAACCAGCCGCGGGCTGGAAAACTATTGATTCAATCGTTCTCCTCCAGTTAGACAATTGTGCAGAAATGGCAGACACTATTTTTGTTAATCGTTCCCCCCCATTTGTTGTACTAATCGTCATCCCGCATTAAGTGTCTGGGCCAGGAGGTCGACCCCCTCGCTGTGGGGAGCGGGCCCACGCCCAGCGCCCGGGCCCCCGACGCCGCGGAGAGCTCCTGCGCGAGCGGCACGGGCCCCCGCAGCTGTCGGAGCCCGCCCTGGGCTTGGAGCTCCAGGCCTCCTACAGAGAGGGAGTCCGAGCAGAGGGGGTCTGAGGGCTCGCGCCGCCTCGGCGAGGCATCGGCGATGCGGCTTGATGTGGAGCCCGATCTTCTCCACGCTGACGTCGCCGATGCATCGCCGATGCCGCCGATGCATCGGCGATGTACGCCGATGTATCGGCGATGCGCCGCGATCCTCCGACCCCATCTACTCCGACCCCATCTACTCCGACCCCATCTTGGAGGCCTCTAGGAGCCGACTGGGTGTCTGAGATTAAGTCGGGCATGTCGCTCTACAGGAGGAATAGTCAAGAATAGTGAAGAATAGTCTGGGGACGATGGTTCGTTTTCTTTTGACTATGTTTGTATATTGTTTGACCGTTTATGCTTTTCTTCCAATATCCGCCCGTAGGAGTACATGCCCGACCTAGGACCGTCAGAAACGGATCCGTGGTGAAAGATTGCACCAGGCGAATCCCAGGAGGGGTCCGAGGACCAATTTTGAGCGGATTCGGCTTCATGCCCCTTCCTAACCGACTTGCTGGGGCCCCAGCCAGTTCAGACCCTCTGGCCGCCTCCAACCCTGGACCGCCTTTTCGTCCCATGGGTCGCGTTCCGACGGCCCCAGGGCCCGGCAAGGGCCCCCACGAAGCCGAAAAGCTGGCAAAGCTTTCGGCCGCGAGCCTGCCCACAGCTGGGGGAGGCCATTGGGGGAGGGGAGTCTCTGGACTGGCTGCGCGCCGCCGACGACAGCCCAGGCAGCCGGCGGCACGAGGTCTGTTTCCTCCGCGGCCCCGGGGCTCCCGACCCCTGCCCCCGCGGGTGGTTTCGCAGTCGGCCCGCATGGGAAGCCTGGCCACGTTCGGCGGCCGCGCCCCGCTCGAAGAGCTTCGAAGTGGGCTTCCAAGCTCCTGGCATCCTTCTCGCGCATCATTGTGATGCGGGCCGACTGTCCCATCGGTCGTTGAAAGTAGGTGTTTGGGGACCCCCACTGCCCAATCTACTTTGGCCGCCTTCCTATTTCAAGTGTCGAGTGGTTCTCCCTCTTCCCTCCTCTACAGGAGGCGGGCGGAAACCCGATCTACTTCCAACGCCTTCCTACTTGATGGTTCTACCTACTTCTTTCGACCGATGGGTACTTCTTCTGGCCTCAAGGCCCAATGACGGGCCTTATAGAGGCGAAAATGTCAAGGAAAAGCGCCGGGCCCACGGCGGCCGTTCGGACGATCCCAGCCCCCCTTGGATGGCCCTCGGCGAGGTGCGGCTGCTGGAGAGCATCTCGAAGCAGGAAAACGTACGGGAGCCAACGAGAAAGCCAGAAACAAAAAAAAAAAAAAAAGCGCCCGAGAACCCAGAAGAGTCCCCCCCTGGCGTTCTCCCTCCCTCCAGGGGCGGCGACCCCGACGCCGCGGCATGGGAGACCGTGGCGCGCACCGGCGAGGCCCTGGAGGCGGGGCAGCGCCCGAACGGGGGGTGCTGCTAGGAGCACCCCTGGCCCGAGGTGCCCCCCCCCAGGAGTCTCGGGGTGGCCCAAACGGCCTCCGGGGCGCCCCTCATGAGGCTCAGAGGGCCTCTGGGGCTCCAGAATGGAGCGAAAAGCTGGGGGCACCTCGGGCCAGGGGCACTTCCAGCAACACCCGACCAGAAGGGGGGTCTCCACCAGGGGTGTCACCAGTTCCTCCTGACTTGGCATCGCTCGGACGTGTGCTGTTTATTCTGGCGACTGGCGAGGACCATCGAGGAGCATCTTGGGCCAATTTGCAAAAAAATGCACGTACGAAACCACAAATGCACGGGGGATGGACGTCCGAGCACGGGGAATGGACGTCCGAGCGATGGCGAGCAGAGGCTCGAGGCTCCGGGATCGAAGCTCCAGGAGGTTTGGGGACGTCTGGAGTGGCACTGGAAGGCTCTCTGGAGTGTCTTGGGGGGCTCTTTCCCTCGAGGGGCACGGCACTGCCTCGAGGAAGCGGCGCCCCTCCCAGACACAGGGCGTACCCATCGACTTTTGAGAAGCACGGGCCCCCGGCCTCCCGACCACTTCCCATGGGGCCGGTTGTTCATCCCGAGCCCTGCTTTGACAGCCCCGAGGCCCAGTCAGGGCGGCCCCGAGGTTGGAGGGCCAGGTCTGCCTGCTTCCAGAAGGCCAGTATCTGGGGCAGATGCCAGACACCGCTCTCACTGTCTAGCCGCAGGCGTCTGTGGACACATTGGGTGCCATTACGTATATGGACACTATGCGGGGGTGGCTGCGTCTGTAGACAGCGCGGCCTTTGCGTTCGACGCAGCACAAGGTCGGAGAGAGAGTAGATCCGTCAACGAGACGCTCCTGTTCTGTAGCAGGCTCCCCATGGCGCTCCAACCCCGAGAGGCCGAAAGCGGTGGAAAACCTCCGCCACGATTTTTCCGAGGCGCCCGATGTCTGGGCTCGGCCTGTGCCTGCTCCGAGGGCTGCGGCGTGGGCGGGCCGGCGGGCGAGAAGCGCGCGCCGGAGCTCCGGTGCGGCCGGCCGCTGGGGGTGCGGGCGGTGCGGCGGGGCACGGTGGATCCGCTCGCGGCGCAGGGCGACGAGGACCGCCCCGGAGTCGAGCAGTCAAGCAGTGGCGAGGCGTCCTGGCTCGCCTATAGCCCCACCGAACAATGCTCTCAGAACCTTTTGTGGTTCCCACGAAATGTTCTTAGAACATTTCTGGCTGGGACTGTCTTGTTTTAACACATCGGGCCATTTTTGGGTTCCAAGACCATGTCGTGGTAGGACTGTAGGAATGCCGGGACCGTCGGTCCCTGCTCACAGCAGTGGCGCAGCGCCCGGACCCGCCTAAATTCCCAGACAGCCGGCGTCTTGAGAAGAAGAGTCGGGCCAGAGGTGTGTCCTCGTTGTCGGCCTCTCGCGAGGCCCTTTGATACCCGGTCATCGGGGCCGTCAAAAAACGATTCGGGATGAAAAACGGGTCTCAGGGAAGGTGTCGAGAGTCGGGGCTCAAGCGACGGGGGTCGCTGCAAGCGGGGGTCAAGCCAGAGCGCCAGATCCTGCAGGCTCCTGCAGAGCCAGGGGCGCACCGACCCGGGCTTGGGTGCAGGATCCTACGGGACCTTGTTGGATCTTGCAGGATCCTGCGAAGCCCGACTCACCCGGCGGAGCCGAGTTTGGATTGACCCGGGCCAGTGGGAGCCCGAAACCGGCCAGGGGCCCGTGTCTCGACAACAAAAGTCGAGACGCCGGAAGTGTGGGAGCGGAGCCGCGCTCGCCGAGGGGTGGCGAGGACTGCCCCCCCGGGAGTCGAGCAGCGGCGCAGGCGCCCTGACTTGCCTGTACGCCAGGCCGCCCAGAGGGGGGGATCCGAGCAGGCGGGGTCGGAGGCTCGCGCCGCAGCGCCGACGCATCGGCGATGCGGCTCGATGCGGGGCCCGATCCTCGCCACGCCGACGTCGCCGGTGCATCGCCGATGCATCGCCGACGCGTCGCCGATGCGGCGCGATCCTCTGCCCCCATCGACTCCGACCCACCTACGAGGCCTCTACGAAGGGGTGGGCGCGGGGGGTGCTGAGGAGGCAATTGGGGGGCTGATCAGTGGATACCGAGGTAGGTCATCGAGCTGCCTGTGGTAAACCCCGCCACCGTGCCTGTGCGACAGCACTGCAGCAAAGAGATTGGGTGTAGGAACAGCGCAGTTCCGACAAAGATCAGGACGGGTCGTGAACTCGACATGAAAGACGGGTCGTGAACTCGACAGCGTCTTCGTCCGCGCGGTATGAAGGAGGTCGAGTTCACACCCCGCGGCAGTTCAGCGAGTTGTGATCCCGACATTCTCTTCGTCCGCGCGGCAGGGAGGAGGAGGAGGAGGAGGAGGAGGAGGAGGAGGACGAGGAGGAAGACGAGGAGGAGGAGGAGAAGGAGAAGGAGAAGGAGGAGGAGGAGAGAAAAACAAAAATAAGGACGAGGAGGCCAAAGCTTCTTGGGGCCCTCTTAGGGCCTCCTGCGGGCCTCCTCGCAGCCTCCTGGGGGGCATCTTGGGGGCCTCTTGGGGGGCTCCTTGGGCCTCTTGGGGGCCTCGTGGGGCTTCTAGCGCCTTCTTAGGGAGGCGCTTAACCCGTCCGACGCCTTCGGAGGCCGTCTTGGGGGCCTCTCTGGGGCGTCTTGGTGCCCTCTCCGAGCGCTTTAGGGCCGTCTTGGGGCCCTCTTGGGAGCCTCTTGAGTGATCTTTAGGTCCTCTTGGGCTCGGGGCCCTCTTGGGGGCCTCCTGGGCTGTCTTGGAGCTATCTTTATGTCGGGCATGTCCCTCTACAGGAGGAATACTCAAGAATAGGACAAGTTATAATGGTGACGAGTTTTCGTGTTTTTTACTATGTTTGATTCGTTCTGACTATTTTGAACTGTTCTTCCAAAATCCGCCTGGAGGAGGACATACCCGACCTAAAGCTATCTTGGAAGCCCCTTGGGCCGTCTTGGGCGGTCAGAGACCCACACAGGCGAGAACTTCAGAGCCCGTCAAATGCCAAGGGAAGGCAGTGGTTTTGGCCTCGGGATCTCCGGCCTCCCTCTCGGGCCGTCTTGGGAGGCTGTCGGGCCGTCTTGAGGCTGTCTTGCAAGCATCTCGAGCCGTCTTGCGCTATCCGGGGCCGGTCTGGCGTCGTCTCGGCTGCCGGAAAAGCCGTCCTGGAGGCCATCTTGGCAGCTCGGGGGCTGAAAAGAGCGCTGGCAAGCGATTCCACGCGTGAATCGAGGGGTGGGCCAGACAAGATGTCAGGAACCTCCCAGGCAACAGGCGCGCATTCTAACACGCCCACGCCGTGGAAGCACGGTGGCTGATATCTCTTCTGACCTAGATGATACGGTCAGGAATTGTGGCTCTGCATGTCGCTCAGCCGATTATTGCCCAACGCGATTCGGCGCGACACGCTATCTGAGTTCGCCTTCCCAGAGGTCAACGTCCCGAACTTTCCCGAGCCTCCCGCTCCGCGGAGCGAAGCGACACGCGATCCACTCGCAAAGCACGGCGTGTCGCCGGGGCCGCCGCCGCGCTAAGCAGAAGTTCCCGACCGTAAGTGGGTCACAAGTGCCCCAAGTGGCTTATGGGGTTTGGATAATTCCTCGAAGTGGGCAGAGCCCACTAAGCCCAGATCGCTACCCCCCCTAAGCCACTTGAGACATGTGTAACACATGTCCAAGCTAGGTTAGGCCAGATATTACCAGCCTTGGCATCCACTGATAAGCCCCATATGCCCTTAGCAACCCTCGCGCCCGTTCCAGTAGGCACACCAAAGTATGTTCTAATAGCCTTTTGTGGTATGCACGAAACCTGATTAGGAGATTCCTTTGAAACACTTCCGGTAACGGTCTTTTCCCGAGATAGTATCGGTGCCGCTTGGGCGGGGTGGGGCACGTCGGGGCAGGCGTGGGTGCGCCGCGATCACCAGCATGCGGGGATGGGGTCCAGGCCCCCCCCCATTTACGATCGCTACCGGCACCTAAGAGGGAGGGGTTAGGCCCGCGTAACGCCGCGACTTGCCTATAGGCCCACCAAAAAAGGTTGTAAGACTTGTTCCGGATAGAGTCTATGCGTGTCGCTTCATAGAGGATTCTCGGGCCAAATTGCCTACGTACAGCATCTAACGAGCACCGTCGACGATGGGACCTGGAGGCGGAGCTGAGAGTTGCAATGTTCTGTGGGGGGGCTTAAAAAGTTTGAACTCCCAGGGTGGAAACAATGCAGGCGGAGATCCTAAGTCAAGCAGTGTCGAGGCGTCCTGACCTGCCTTATAGGCCCACCAAGAGTCCTACGAACCTCTGATGGTTTGCACGAAATGTCATTAGAGCATTCCTGACTAAGACGGTCTTTTGCTCATGCACATCACATATGTTCTAAGACATGTTGTTGATATTAGAATATGAGTTTGTTCGTAGATCTGTTCTTGGCAGGACAAGTCGGAGAGTCGGGACTGTCGGTCCGTGCTCAATTGAGATCCGGGCGCTGCCTCTGTTTCACGCACGGCGTGTCCGGCAGGGTGCAGGCCACGGCACCTTCACAGATCGATCTGGGCGGAAAAAACAGCACACAAAGATCGGAGGTTGACAGACCTCCTACCCTGACACGTCGATTAGTGAATTGGCCGTTTTCGGTTCGCGAGAGGGCGTCGCGGCCGTCATTTTTGCGGTTCCAGGCCCGTCGGTTTCGGTCCCAGGCTGTTTTCATTGAGTGGAGATTTACTAAAGGGAGGTTTGTCCAGCGCCGAAAGGTCGGCGTCAAGGGCTTCAGTCGCAGCTCTTCAGCGTGCCCCGATGTGTGCGCAACGTCGGACCTTCGGAAGGAGGGCCAGGGGAGACAACGGGGGCCTTCCCTGGCGGTGCGCGTCCCTCTGGGGCCTCCCTGGACCCCCAGGAGGGGTCCACGGGGGGGGGTCCGGGGACCAATTCTGAACAGATTTGGGGCGGGGGCGACCGACGACCGTGACGACTACGTCAACGACGAGGACGACGACGACGAGGACGACGACGACGACGACGACGACGACGACGAAGACGACGACGTCGACGACGACGACGACGACGACGACGGCGAAGGCGACGGCGACGGCAACGACGACTGCGAGGACGACGGCGACGGCGACGACGGCGAGGACGACCGACATCCGCCGGGCGGGAGAGCCCCTCTTGTTTCAATTGGATCGCCCTGAAGGAACAGAGTCCTGAGGGAAACGGGTCCTGACGTCTTTGTTGCCGTTTTCGGGCCCGGGGCCGTCACAAAATTGCTCCTAAAAATCTGGCCTGGGCGGGAGGCCCTAGGGTCCAGTACCCGTTTCCCATGGGACCCCCTTCCTGCATGCCACGAGGACGTGCTCGTTGTGTGCGACGCCTACAAAGGCCTGCTGATGGTTTCGCGGCTCGACGAGCGCCCGGCAAAAGTCGAGGTTCTGGCGAGACGGGCACCTGGCGACTCGGAGGATTTCCACCTCCTGAACGACCTGGTCCAGGCCCCAGACGGCAGCATCTATCCAGCGTGCGCTGCCGCGTTCGACCTGCACCGTGCTGTGGAAGGGGGGGGAGGGGGAGGCCCGAGGGGGAGGAGCGGGCAGGCGCAGCCCTCGCCGTAGATCACGCCGGGAGGCGCAGAAGATCGAGGGGGCCGAAAGCGGGGTCTGCCGGCTCCCCCCTTGGGGCGCAGTGGAAACCCATGCTAGGAGACACCTTGCTTGCCTCCAGGGTGCCCTGGGTTTCTTGGGGTTCGATGGTTTTGCGGCGGAAAGCTTGGCGTTCCCGCACCAAGTGGACGTCTTGGTGTCTCCGGGTTGGGGTTCTTGTGGGAGGTTTCTTGTGGTCGAGCTCCTGTCGCACTTCGTAACATGGCACGCGCGTCCGTCGGGACGTGCCCGAGGGGGGCTGGGCCGAGCAGAGGGCCATCGTCCAGGCGCCGACCAGCCGCCTCGGCACGCGCACGGCCCGGCCACTCGGCGCGAGGGCGGGCAAAGCACAAGTTGGTGATCGAGCGGGGGATGTGTGGGCATGCTCTGCCCAGAGCAGGCCGAAGCCCCCACGTGGGGACATGGAACCAGAACAAGACCCAGGAGGAGAAAGAGGAAAAAAGGGAGGAGGGCGGTGGAGGAGGAGGGAGCAGGAGGAGGAGGAGAAAGAAGGCGGAGGAGGCGGGAGGAAGGGATGAGTGCGGAGGAGGCGAGGAGCACCCCCCAAGAAAATTACACCCTTGCGGCAGAAACCCCTTGAACAGCTTTACTCACTCACGGTGGGGGCCGCGATTGGGGAGTCGGGATAGCGATACGGGTAGGGATTGGTGCGTGTATATATATATATAGCTATATATATAGCTAAACATGCATATATACATATATATACATACATACACTTATATATCTATATATATATATATATATGTATATACACACGTGTATATATATATATATGCGTGTATAAGGCTAAGGTTAAGATTCTAGGGATAGGGATATCAGGATCGGAGGTGAGGGGGTGAGATCGAAGTGGAACGGAGAGCCCCCCTACCGGGAAATCGGTTTCGGTTTCGTGTTCGTGCGTGCCGTGCGTGCGGGCGAGGCGAAGCTGCGTGGGCGGGCGAGAAGAAAGTCTCCTCCAGCTGAGGCGCGGCCGGACCAAATGATCCCTTTCCGGGGGCCGGTTGCCCGCGGTGTCCCGCCGGTGTCCCGCCTCCAGCTGAGGCGCGGCCGGACCAAATGATTCCTTTCCGGGGGCCGGTGGCCCTCGGTGTCCCGCCGGTGTCCCGCCTCCAGCTGAGGCGCGGCCAGACCAAACGATTCCTTTCCTGGGGCCGGTGGCCCTCGGTGTCCCGCCGGTGTCCCGCCGGCGTCCCGTCGGTGTCCCGATGATGACGATGATGATGATAATGATGATAATGATGATGATGATGATGATGATGATGATGATGATGATGATGATGATGATGTCGTTGATGTCGTTGATGATGATGATGATGATGGTGATGATGGTGATGATGGTGATGATGATGGTGTCCCGATGGTGATGATGATGATGATGATGATGATGATGATGTTGACGATGTTGATGATGATGATGATGATCATGGTAATGGCGGTGATGATGATGATGATGGTGTCCCGATGATGATGATGATGATGATGATGATGATGATGATGATGATGATGATGATGATGATGTTGATGCTGATGTTGCTGATAATGATGATGGTGTCCCGATGATGATGTTGATGATCCTGCTGACGTTGATGATGATGATGATGAAATGATGATGAGACGATGGTGGTGAAGATGGTGATGCTGGTGTCCCGATGATGATGATGATGATGAGGCTGATGATGATGTTGCTGGTGATGATGGTGATGATGATGGTGTCCCGATGATGATGATGATGATGATGATGATGATGGTGATGGTGATGGTGATGGTGATGACGATGATGGTGTCCCGATGATGATGATGATGATGATGATGATGCTTATGATGAGGATGATGAGGTGATGATGATGATTTTGATGATGGTGGCCCGATGATGGTGATGATGATGCGGATGTTGATGATGATGGTGTCCCGATGATGATGATAATGATGATGGCGATGATGATGATGATGACGATGATGGTGTCCCGATGATGATGATGACGATGATGATGATGCTGATGGAGATGATACTGGTGATGATGATGGTGTCCCGATGATGATGATGATGATGATGATGATGATGATGATGATGATGATGCGGATGATGTTGTTCATGATGATGATGGTGGTGTTCCGATGATGATGATGGCGTCCCAGTGATGATGATGTTGATGATGATGCTGATGATGGTGACGATGGTGATGGTGTCCCGATGATGATGGTGATGATGATGGGTTTGATGATGATGGTGATGAGGTGATGATGATGGTGTCCCGATGATGATGGTGATGATGATGTTGATGACGTTGATGACATTGATGACGATGGTGTTGATGATGATGATGATGATGATGATGATGACGTTGATTGTGAGATCGATTGTGAGATTGACAGTGAGATCGATAGATTGTGAGATTGACAGTGAGATCGATAGTGAGACCGAATGTGAGATCGATAGTGAGACCGAATGTGAGATCGATAGTGAGATTGATTGTGGGATCGATCGTCAGATCGATTGTGAGATCGACCGAATGAAATACATCTTGTGAGATCGATTGTGAGATCGATCGAGTGAGATCGTTCGAGCGAGACCGATAGTGAGATCGATAGTGAGATCGATTGTGAGACCGATCGAGTCAGACGTTGGTTCCTCCCCCCCCCGAACCTCCTTATCACCCGAAAGGTGGTCGTATAGGTAGGGGATGGGGTCGGTTTCGGGATAGGGATACGGATCGGTGAAGTTGTTGCGGGGGACACCGGTAGAAGGGATAGGGATACTCGTAGGGATCGACGCAGAGGGCAAGGGGCCGATAGGGACCAGGATAGGGGTTTGGGCGGCATTTGAAAGCCACGGGTGCCAACGGCAGGCCGCGGAAGGGAACAGGAGGGCCACGGGGGACCACGTCGCCCGACCAATTCCAGACCGCGGGACCTCCCAGGAGCCCAGGAAAGTGGCGACAGCTGCGCACTCCGCAGCCCACCAGGGAGCCGCGAGGTCTCAACTGGATCCCCGTGTCCCCCCTCTCCGCGGGACCTCCCAGGAGCCCACGAACGTGGCGACGTTTGCACACTTCGCAGCCCACCAAGGAGCCGCGAGGTCTCAACTGCATCCCCGTGTCCCCCCTCTCCGCGGGACCTCCCAGGAGCCCAGGAAAGCGGAGACAGTTGCGCTCTTCGCAGCCCACCGGGGAGCCGCGAGGTCTCCACTGGATCCCCGTGTCCCCCCACTCCGCGGGACTTCCCAGGAGCCCACGAAAGTGGAGACAGTTGCGCTCTTCGCAGCCCACCAGGGAGCCGCGAGGTCTCAACTGGATCCCCGTGTACCCGGACTCCGCGGGACCTCCCAGGAGCCCACGACCACGAAAAGGGCGACAGTTGCGCACTTCGCAGCACACCAGGGAGCCGCGAGGTCTCAACTGGATCCCCGTGTCCCCCCTCTCCGCGGGACCTCCCAGGAGCCCGCGAGAGTGGCGACGGTTGCGCAATTCGCAGCCCCCCAGAGACCGCGAGGTCTCAATTGGATCCCCGTGTTTCGCCACCCCGCCGGACTTCCCAGGAGCGAAAATTGCGCATTTCGCAGCCCCCCAGGGAGCCGCGACGTCTTAACTGGATCCTCGTGTCCCTCCACTCCGCGGGACCTCCCAGGAACCCACGACAGGTGCCACTTCGCAACCCCTCAGAGAGCCGCGAGGTCTCAACTGGATCCCCGTGTCCCCCCACTTCGCGGGACCTCCCAGGAGCCCAGGAAAGTGGCGACAGTTGCCACTTCGCAACCCCCCAGGGAGCCGCGAGGCCTCAATTGGATCCCCCCCGTGTCCCCCCACTCCGCGAAAACTCCCAGGAGCCCGCGAACGTGGCGACAGTTGCGCACTTCGCAGTCCCACCTCCCAGGGAGCCGCGAGGTCTCAACTTGCTCCCCGTGCCCCCCCCCCACTCCGCGGAACCTCCCACGAGCCCAGGAAAGTGGCGACAGCTGCGCACTCCGCGGCCCCCCTTGGAGCCGCGAGGTCTCAACCGGATTCCCGTGTCCCCCCTCTCCACGGAACCTCCCAGGAGCCCACGACCACGAAAGTCTCAATTGTATCCCCGTGTCCCCCCACTCCGCGGGACCTCCCAGGAGCCCACAAAAGTGGCGACAGTTGCGCATTTCACAGCACCCCAGGTGACAGCGAGGTCTCAACTTACCAGGAGCCCATGACAGGTGCGACATGTGCGCACTTCGCAGCCCACCAGGGAGCCGCGAGGTCTCAACTGGATCTCCGTGTCTCCCCTCTCCGCGGGACTTCCCAGGAGCCCACGAAAGTGGAGACAGTTGCGCTCTTCGCAGCACGACAGGGAGCCGCGAGGTCTCAACTGGATCCCCGTGTACCCCCACTCCGCGGGACCTCCCAGGAGCCCACGACCACGAAAGTGGCGACAGCTACGCACTTCGCAGCCCACCAGGGAGCCGCGAGGTCTCAACTGGATCCCCGTGTCCCGCCACCTCCGCGGAACCTCCCAGGAGCCCAGGAACGTGGCGACAGTTGCGCACTCCGCAGCCCACCAGGGAGCCGCGAGGTCTCAACTGGATCCCCGTGTCCCCCCACTCCGCGGGACCTCCCAGGAGCCCACGAAAGTGGCGACGGTTGCGCAATTCGCAGCCCCCCAGGAGCGTGCTTCTTCATTGTTTGGGGCATAACGGGCGTTATAGCCCCCTCCCTATGACCCCCCCTGGGACTCCCCCCTCCCCAGTGCGCTCGGGGCATTGCCGCCGTGCGCATCGGGATCCACACAGGCGTCCGCATAGGAATCTGCATATGAGTCTGGTCCGCATTAGGAATCTCATGGGGATCCGCATAGAGATGCGCATCCGCATAAGGATCCGCATAGGGATCCGCGCAGGGATCTGCATAGGGATCCGCCTAGGGATCCGCATAGGGATTCGCATAGGGACCCGCACTGGGATCCGCATATGGATCCGAAATTGTGATTTTGTGCTCCCGGTGAAAACTCTTCCTCGTTCTCCTCCTCCCTCTCCTCCTCTTCCTCCTCTTCCTTCTCCTCCTCCTCCCCCTTTCTCCTCCTCCCCCTCTTCCTCCGCATCGCCATTCCTGTGTGAAGCCATTTTGGCGCCGAGCGGCGGCAGAGGCAGCCTGCTGGGCGGCCCAGTTGCGCGCAGACAGCCATGGACTGGCTGTCGGCGCGCCACGGGGACCACGTCGCCCGACCGGTCCGTGTGTGTGTGTGTTTTTTGTCCCACGTGTGTGTTTGTTTCGTTTGTGTGTGTTTTCTACCAGCGATGCACTTTTAGTTTCTTAGGACCAGCGATATAGAACCCTTGCAGACCCGTCCTGGAACCAGCGACGCACTTTCTGGTTTCTGAGAGCCAGCGGTATAGAACCCGTGCAGAAAGCTGCTTCGGCAACGAACCTTTCGAGTGTCCGGCGCGCGCGCGCCCCCGACCGCGCAGCGGCCAGGCGGCGCCGCGACCGGCAGGCGGATTTTACCGAGACCAGGCCCCGGGGGCGGGAGGCGCAACGGCGGGCGCCGCGGCGGGTCGCGGCGTGGCCATGGCGCGCTTTGAGAGGCGGTGGGGGGGGGAGGAGGAGAAGGAGGAGGAGGAGGAGGAGGAGGAGGAGGAGGAGGAGGAGGAAGGAGCAGGGAGGAGGGAGGAGAGCAGGAGGAGGAGGAGGAGGGAGGACGAGGACGAGGAGAAAGAGGACGAGGAGAAAGAGGACGAGGAGGACGAGGAGGACGAGGAGGAGGAGGGGGATGAGGAGGAGGAGGGCGGAGGGCGAGGAGGCGGGCAGGGAGGAGGAGGAGAGAGGAGGGCGGAAGAGAGAGGAGAGGAGGAGGAAAGGAAGAGGAGGAGGAGGAGGAGGAGGAGAAAGAAGAAGAAGAAGAAGAAAAGCGCGAGGAGGAGGAGAAGGAGGGGAGGGAAGGAGGAGGCGAGGGGGAGGGAGAGGGTGGGGGAGGTGTCCTGAGGTGTTCCGAGATCCAAATATGTTTCCAGAGGGCTCTGGGGGAGGGGAGGAGGAGGAGGAGGAGAGGAGGAGGAGGAGGAGGAGGAGGAGGAGGAGGACGAGGCGGAGTAGGAGGAGGAGGAGGAGGGCGCACCCTGCCTTCACAAGGGACCTTTCCTTGGACAGGCGTGTCCCGTCAGCCGGGGGTTCTAGCTGCACACAGAATCCGACACCGGGGTTGTCCGGTCAACATTGGGATCAACATTGGTGCATGACGCCTCCACGGCTGCAGGCCATTACGGCACATCCTCCGATCATGGGCTCGTCGTTGGCCTGGCCAGAATCAGTGTCGGTGTGCGGGTGGCGTCCTCCTTGCCGGCACCACGTGCGGCGCTTTCTTGCGCCTCCCCCCCAGCCAGCACCGGCTTCCAGCGTCGCGAGATCGTGTACGCCCTTCTCAGCGGGCGGCCCGATGGCAGATTGCTCCGCTACTCGAACGGCACGGTTGAAGTGGTGATGACTGGCATTTTCATGGCAAACGGCATCACGCTGACGCACGACGGGAAAGGGCTTCTTGTCGCAATGGGCATCATGCGGATTGCGAGGTTCGACTTCGCCACTCGCGAGCTAACAGCTTTTGCAGATCTGCCGGGGAGCGTGGACAACATCCGCACGATGGACACGTTACCGAACGGGACCGCGCGCCGATGCTACTGGCTGGGCCTCGGGTCCAGGGCTGCGAAGCCCTTCTCGTTCCTGCACTTTGCGGCTCCTCTGCCGCAGCTGCGCGCCGCTATAGCGGCGCTGGTCCCCTACGAGATGATCGTGAGGCTGGGGCTTGGCCTGCACAGCGTTATGTCGGGCGTGTCCCCCTACAGGGGGATTTTCGACGAAAGATCAAAAATACCCCAACAATATCCAAAGAAGGTCAAAAAATACCCCCAAAAATAGTCCCCAGGCTATTTTTGGAGCATGTTTTAATTATTTTTGGGGGAATGTTTTGTTTTTCGTCGAAAATCCCCCTGTAGGGGGACAGGCCCGACTTAAGCACAGCGAGACCACCCCTCCCCAGGCCCCCATGTCTCGGGGGTGGACAGAACCCCCAATAGTGACACGTCGATTAGTGAATTGTCCGTTTTCGGTTCTCGAGAGTGCGCCGTGGCCGTTATTTTCCAGGCTTGCGCCCGCCAGGTTTGGGCCCGAAGTCGTTGTCACTAAACCACGTTTTACTAAAGGGAGGTCTGCCCATCCCCGAACCTGGGGCGGGCCCGGGGAGCTTGAAGGCGCAGGGGAATCTCCAGGGCACCGTTTCCCTCTTCCTCCTCCTCCTCCTCGTCCTCCTCCTCCTCCTCCTCCTCCTGTTCCTCGTCCTCCTCCTCCTCCTCCTCCTCCTCCTCCTCCTCCTCCTCCTCCTCCTCCTCCTCCTCCTCCTCCTCCTCCCCGAATGTCCCAACCTGCGCCCTGACCGCACCTCCCAGAGGCGAGCCCCGCCGTGGCGGCCTTATAAGGCCCCCCTCGCAGGAGGCCCGGGGAGAGGTCAAAGCGCGAGGGCAGAGCGCGCGCTCGGCGCCGGCGCGGACCTGCACCGAGGGCATCCCCAAATTCGGGAGGGGAAAAAACACACACACACACTGAATCGGCGATTCCCAGGAAATATCGGAAAATATGGGAAGTGGGGGGGGGAAGACAAAACACCCAGAAAACATGGGAAGATCTGGGCAGTCCTCTGATTCGTGTGTATCTACTTGCGTGTCCCAGGGCCCCTTCACAGATGTGCGTCTGCGAGCCGCGGCCCCCGGGCTCCCGACCCCTGCCCCGGGCAGGAGCTCCCGCCCCGGACGGATCATCTCGAGGTCCCTGTGGCCCGACAACCGGCCCGGAGGCCGAAGGCGAGGAAAGAGGCACCATGGGTCGAGCTCAAGCCGCACACACCGTCGGAGGTCTGGGTGCCGTGAGTGTGGGTGCTTCTCCTTCGGCAGGCTGATACCGAAGAAGGGCATCTTGGCGGCTCTTGGCGAGGACGGCGCGCTGCTGGCAACCTACGAGGACCCTGGCGGGAGGACGCCGTGGCTCTCCGAGGCCCGCATCCTCTCTGGCAGCGCCAGGGGCGTCACCGCTACGGTCGGGAGCTGTTGGTCACCACTCCTCGGCCACGCGCAGAGGGGGGCAGGGGGAGATGGTAAGGCGTCTTAGAAGCACCCCTGCTTCTTAGAAGGCGCGGGCCTTGCCTGTAGATGTAGGGCCAGCGCCTTCTGAGAAGCAGCCTCCTCCTTAGAAGCCTCCCCCACTCCCCCATACACCCTTTATGCGCGCCGCCAAACTGCGGTCGGACCATGAGAAACTCATGGAGGACGGTGTTTGCCCTCTTCGGCCCCTGGGGGGACCAGGCCCCAGGACCGTCAAAGAACGGCTCTGGATGAAAGGCCAGTGCCGGTGAATGGGTCGAGATTTCTGGGGATCGATGTTGAAAATCATGACGTCATGGGTTTCGGTATACGGTCAGGAAATTTGGCTTAGTTTGTCGCTCCACCGTTCCTGGCCCACCACGCCTCGGTGCGGCACGCTGTCCACTTTCCTGTCCTTCCTGTCTCCAGGCGTTAGCGTCCCGGCGAGCGGTTCCAATCCCCCAGCCCAGCGGAGCGGAGTGACACGCTATCCGCTTGCAGGTTATGGCGTGTCGACGGGGCCACCGCCGCGACACTCTAAGCAGGAGTCCCCGACCGAAGTGGTGTCGCCACTTCGTCTTGAGGATCGAGGCTACATACAGGAGCGAAGCTCGAGGATGCTTTTGGACGCTTGGTTTCGTGTGGGGGGCTCTGACAGAGGCGCAGCGCGGCTGTGCAGCCGACCGCGCACGGCCGCGGACCGACTTGGGGGGGCCCTGGAGAGTCCCGGGGGCCCCGTCTCGTCGAGGCAGCGGCACCTGCTCCCAGGATGGAGCGGCGACACCCCCCTGGTGGTGAGGCCCCCTTGGCACGGCCCCGAGGCCCACACTCTCGGCGGCTACGTCTACCTGGGCAGCTGGTTCAACCCCTTCCTGGCGCGCGTCTCCGCGTCCGACCTCCGGTGAGCGGGCGGCCCTGCGCGGCGGCGTGGCGGACTGCCCCGGAGGAGGAGCCGGTCGAGAGGCCACCTAGGAGGGGTCAGGGGTCCTCCTCCTCCTCCTCCTCCTCCTCCTCCTCCTCCTCCTCCTCCTCCTCCTCGGGTCCGATTTTGAGCGGATGTGGGCCTGGCGGGGGAGCCGCGGGGGTCTCCACCGGCCCCCCCTCCGAGCAGAGGGGCGCGCGCCGTCCGGAGCAGAGCAAAGGAGCACCACGCAGCGCCTGTCGCACTCTTCGCTGCCGAGCTCGCTGGAGTCGGGCGCGCGCTGGGCGTCGGAGAGGAGGCTCGGGGTTCTTCCTCATTCGGTGGCAAATCGTGCGAGCCTGGTGTACCCTCTTACTTCCGTCTTCAGCGTCGACTGGCGTCCATTAGCGTCTGGAGCCGATGAGATTGCGCCGATTGAGCGTCGAGCTAGCGTCGAGGCAGCGTCGATCTAGCGTCGAGTCGCAAGAGCAGACGAGATGGTATGGGAGGCTCCCCTGAGCTGCCACCGAATTCCTCAGGCCCCTCCCCGACCCTCGCGGATCCGGCGCTCCCGGGGCCCCACAGTCGGGGGCCCGCCCCCCCTTTTCGAGGCCCCTCTCCCAGCCAGGCCGTGGCCGCACAGCCCAGGCCTGCCGGCGACCTCCACCCGGGCTCGCGGAGGCCCCGAGGGCCCTGGGCCTCGCCCGCGCGAGGGCCCCTCGCCGTCTTCCCCCCCTGGGGCGTGCCTTTCATCCCGAGTCCTATCCTATGGTGTACTTCTAGCCGTGGCCACCAAAAAGAATTTCGAGCTCCAAGAAAGTACCCCCAAACGCACGGGTTGTCACGTGTCGGGCCCTTGGGGAGACACTCGCCCGACACTGTTTCGACACTCGCTCAAACTTTTCCGGGTGCTCGAAAATTGTTGCGGGACGTGGTCCTTAAATAACCCGAGCCGTTGCTTTGGTTGCCCTGGTCGGGCGGGGCTGCAGGCTTGAGTCGGGCATATATGTGTATATGTATGTATATATACATACATATTTTTATATATATATATATATATATATATATATATATATATATATAGATTCGAAAAGAGTCCAAGAAAATAGTCTGGGGACGATATCTCGACTCGTCTTGATCATGTCTGAGTGTGGTTTGACCATTTTTATTGTTCCCAAAAAAATTCTGGCTGTAGGAGGACATGCCCGCCCTAACTCGGTTTAGGACCTGGGTGAGCCGCCCCAGAGCGTTTCGGAACGCTCTCAGGGCGTTCCGGAGCACTCCGGAATGGCCCTGGTGCCGGCTTCGGCGCGATGCGCTGTCCTCGTCGCGGTCCCCCGGCGACAAAGTCGCAGCCCCGAGCTTGTCACGGCCTCTTGCCCCGCGGGGCGGAGCGATGATGCGCGATCCGCCCGCAGGGCACAGCGTGTCGCCAGGGCCACCGTGGCGACACGCAGAGCAAAATTCCCCGATCGCAGGACCGCGGCAAGTCGCTCCAGAGCGTTCGGAGCGTGCTCAGCATGTGCCCGGAGCGCTCCGGAGCGGCCGTGGCGCCCGGCACGTCTTCCAGAGCCGCCGGACATCAGAGATCCCCGGCTTGGCCCGGTCCGATCTGGCTCGTGTCCTGGCCTCGTCCTGCCTGGTGCCCGGAGGCTCGCGGGCGGAGGCGATCTCCGCAGCCACGGCTTCGCGGGCGGGGCCACTGGGCCGCGGCCCCGCGGAGGCGGGGAGGGCGCTCGCGGGTGCCCCCGAGCGGAGCGCGCCCACGTGGTCGCGCACATCCACGGGATCGCGCCGCAGAGTCCGGGCCGCGAGGGCGCGGGCACGAGAACGGGCCTTGCCCTTGAGGCGCCCTCCAGGCCACCTGGCAGGGGAGGAGGAGGAGGATGAGGAGGAGGAGGAGGAGGAGGAGGAGGAGGAGGAGGAGGAGGAGACGGAAGGAAACCGGGGCCGGAGAGGAAATAAAAGGGTCGGTTCCTCGAGAGACGGCAAGGGTTTTTGGCTCCGAGTGTCCAGAACCCGCCACACAATTGCGTTCGCAGCTCGTGAGAGGCGGCCTTCGGCTGCCGAAGCCGGCGAGAAAGTGTGTGGCCCGATCTCGTTCGGGCCGCGCGAGAGATTTGGGCACCCGCTGCCGCCCGCAGCGCCGTGGGCCACGGGCGCGCTCGGGCTTTGCGCGCTCCGAGCGCGGGCCCAGGGCGCACATGCCCACACCTCCGATCATGTGAATCGCTCCTTCTCGTCCTCCTCCTCCTCCTCCTCCTCCTCCTCCTCCTCCTCCTCCTCCTCCTCCTCCTCCTCCTCCTCCTCCTCCCCCTCCTCCTCGTGGAGCCGTTCTGGCTCAGACTGATTATGAGTTTGGTCGTGCGAACTTCAAAACGGCGCTGCACGACCGAGCCTTTCTTGGCTGCGTCCCTCAGCCTACCGTTTGCAGGTGGCGCCTGCTCTGTTTCAGCCACCGTACAAAGGTGGCGCGTGCTTTGTCTCCCTCGTATCACGACGAAGTCATGTCGCCATGGTCCAGCAGGCCAGCACCCCACCGTGTCTTCAAGTGGAGGTGCCCCTGCGGCTGTGCCAAGAATCGAGCTGGTGGTACTGCAAGCACTGCAAGGAGCAGTGGAACCCCAAGACGCGCAATGAAACTTATTTTGCTGCTCGCCGTGCTGATGATGCTGATGATGATGATGATTATGAGGATGATGCTGATGATGATGATGATGATGATGATGATGATGACCCCCTGCAGTCATGGGGCAAGGAAGCCTTTGTCCCACCTGGACAGCAGCCTGGCCAGCCGCGCCCAGCCGGTAGTGGTCGGGTCCCACGGCCAACACGGACGGGATCAGCATCGAGGACCTCAGCACTCTGGCGGCCATCGCGACTCGCCAGGGTCAGGCTGCACTCGCAAAGCAGTATGATGCGGCTCGTGAGAAGTCGGCGCAGCAGGTCAAGGCGAAGGTGTTGCCCCCAGTCTGTTTTCACACACGGGCCTCTCAGGCTCAGTCGAAGATCAAGAGTGTGGAGAAGCGCCTCGAGAAAGAGCTGGCGAAGATGCAGCGATGGCGAGCAGACGTCCTCGCCCTGGAGAACACGATCCAAGAGATGTCTGACGAGATGGATGCGCTGGAGAATAACTACTCGGAGCTGGTGTCGCAGATCAGCTCGGAGGTCCAGCCCCGCGCCCCGAAGAAGGATCCCGTTCCGAAGGGCCCGTCCATCAGCCTCCGCGCCGCGGCGGAAGCGGAGGAGGTCAACTTCATCTTGGAGGACGATTTGCTGGAGGACCTGCCGAAAGAATACGAGATGTCGCCACAGGACAAGGAGCAGCTGGAGACTCGCAAGAAGTTGCTCCAGAACGGGCTCAAAGACATGGCGAAGAACTTGTTTGGCGCGGCCTCCGAGCACTTCCAGGCAGCGCGCAAGGAGCACAAGCATCACCTCACTCGGATGTCCAAGAAGAAGCGCATGAACGAGGAAGGTGAAGCTGCACCTGGTGACGACCCTGCAGCTGCTGGGGGTGGGCATCCTGAAGTTGGTACCGATGGAGATGGCCCCCCTGGCGGAGGTGGCGGGGCGTCGCCCCCCGAGGCTGAAGGCGGGCCCTCAGCCGCCGCTGCCGCATCTTCCTCCACGGGCACTGCGAGTTCAGCTCCTGCGGCCACTTCTCGGCCCCCGGGAGCGGACCCAGAGCTGCGTGCCAGGCTTGCCAAAGCTTTGCACAAGAGGGAGGCCTCCTTTCAGCCCCCCCCCCCGCGGGCGTCGGCCTGAGGAGGCGGGGGAGAACGCCTTTTATGCGGGAGCCCCCCCCCCCCCCCCCCCATCGGACTCGCATGCTGGCCTCGCAGATCAAGCTACCTCGGCTGCCACCTCCTTCAGGGAGGCCAGGTTCTGTCAGGCGGGGCCCAGCCCCAGGCCAGGTTTTGGTGGAACCAATTTTTTCCAGGGATTCCAGCACCCCTCGGGCCCGGGAGTTCCAGGCCCAGGTCCCAGGCCAGAAGACGATAAGATCGAGCTGGTTATCACTACTGCGAACTGCAACAGCTGGGGCACGCTGCGAGACTGGCTGCCTTCGGCCAAATCCCCGCACGTTACTCTGGTCCAGGAGCATTTCCTAGCGGATGATGGATCCAGCGGCCGCGCCTCGAAGTTTTGCTCCGATCGTGGTTGGAAGAGTCTCTGGGCGCCTGCTCTGCGAACGCCTGAGGGGGGGTTCGCCTGGCGGGGTGGCCATCCTGGCCAAGAACTTCTCGGGGCCCCAGCAGCCGCATCAACTATATTCGGGACGTGCCCTGGGAGCGATTGTCCATCTTCCTGGAGGCGCTCAGTTTTCCACGGTTCCGGCTTGCTGTTTCGACTCTGAAGGCGTGACAGACAGGCAGCTCGACGCGCTGAAGTCCGCCGGCACTGTTTTGTCACCTGAAGGAACGGCTTATGTTGTAGGAGGAGACTTCAACATGGAGCCATCGGCTGTCTCGGACCCGTGGGGCACGGGTCTGCTCGAGAAATGTCACGGCGAGGTTGTGAACATTGGTGCTCCCACTTGTATCGGAATCAAGCAGTCGGACTACGACTACTTCATTGTTTCAGGGGGCCTCGCCGCGGTGTCAAGTTCGCGAAGAGATGCGACGAGAGCGAGTTATCGCCGCACTTCGCTGTCGCTCTCGGCTTTCATCCTGCCCTCTGCCGTTTGCAAGCTCTGGGTTTCAGGAAACCTCCACCTCTTCCTACCGAAGCCCCCCTGGGGTGGGCCCTCCTCCTGGCGATTTTATGCGGGCGAAGACGTTCTTGGAGTTGGGTGAGAAGGCCCCCAAATTCCAGGATGCCAATGAGGTCTCCAGGCTCATCAGCAAGGTTTATCATTCGTGGGCGAACCTCTCTGAGTACGCCTTGAGGATGGGGGGGGGGATCTGGCTTATCGCGGGGCTCGTGGGAAGGGCCTTCAGATAGTCTCGAAGCCGATTCTCCAGAAAGACTCCAAGCAGCGCAGGCACCCAGAGCTGTGAGCGACGAGGTGGCTCAGCGCTCGTTTCAAGGCCATCGCGCAGCTAATGCCCTCGATCGCTGCCGGTGCTGCGCC